AATAAATAAATAATAATACAAAATATAAATAATAATAAATATAAAAATGATATAATACAAATATAATAATCAAATCAATATATAAATAAAAATAATTAATAATAATAAACAAATAATAAAATTGAATATATTTTTTATTAAACAATCGAATAAATAAAATAAATAAAAAATATAAATAATAATAGAATAAGAATAAAAGAAATATATAATAAATAAAAATAATAAAAAATACATAGAAAAAGAAATATAAAAATAAAATATAATAAACATAAAATAATAAAAGAATAATAAGAAAAGATAAAATAAATAATACAAATAAATAAATAATAAAATAATAAACATAATATTTATATTAATAAAATACTAAATGATATAATTAATAAAATCAAATATAACATAATATAAATGATAAATAAGATAAATAAGAATAAAATAAACACAAAAAATAAGAAATAAAATAAATAACAAAAATACAAAAACAAATATATTCAAATAAAAAATAAAATAATATAAAAAAGAAGAGAAAAGAAGAAAAAGATAATATATAATCAAATATAAATATTATATGACTAATATATAATTGTAATAAATAATAAATAATAAATTCATATGATATAGATAGAAGATATAAAAATTAAATAAATAATAATAAATAATAAAGAAATAATAAGAGAAAAGAAATGATATAATAATAAATAAAATATATAAAAGAAATAATAAATAAAATCAATATAATAATAATATAAAGAGAAAATAGATATAAAATATAAAAATATAATAAAAATGAAAATAAAATAAAGAAATATATTCATATATAAGAAATTATATATAAATAGAAATATATGAATTTAAAGAAAATATAAATAATAAGAATATCAAACTAATAAAATATGATAAATATAAAATATATAGATAATATGATGATATATAATATAATATAATAATAAAAATAAATATAATAATAAAATACATAAATAACATAATAATAACATAATAATAAAAATGTATAATTACATTGAATCAAATATCATTTCTGAATTATAATTCAGAACAAATTACCATAAAATGATATAAAATATAAAGAAATATAAATGAATATAGAATGTGTATTTAATTTAATTTTTAATTTTTATTTTTTTTTTAGGAGCAAAATAATAAAAACTATTATTTTATTGATGCAAAATATTTTGCCCTTTTCTTTTTGGGGTTTTTTATTTAGATGCATTATTTCTTTGCTTATTTTGGTTCCCCATATAAATCATATATTATTAAATTGTATTAAAACAAAGAAATGTCATATTGAAAAGAATGATACAATATGTGAATATAATTAGAGAATATTAAAAAATAAATATAAGTTGTTTATAAAGATATAATAAATCAAATGAGAGAAAGAAATAAAAATACGAAACAGAAAATATGAACTTTAAAAATTAGAAGAAAAGAAGAAATAATAATTTGTAGAATAATGAAAATATAAATAAAGAAGAAGAGAAGTTCAACAAAAGAGCATATATCTATGTGAAAGAATCAACAAAAAATACCAAAATACATTTATCATAAATATGAAAATATTATGAGATGAAAATACAAATATAGTATTTATGAATAAAATGAATATGTATTGATTGAATGATAAAGGTAATAACATTACTAGTTATAATAAGAATATGATGATTAATTAATAAAGAAACAAGAAGATTATTTGAATCGTCCCGAATAAAAACACTGTGAGAAATAATGGTAAAAGATATAATTAACAAAAACATGAAATATTTAATGAAATAATGTGGTGCTCATTGTGGTGAATATATGAATATAAATGAATCAAAAAAATATTCTCATATAGTATTGAAAGATAGATGTAATCTCACCAGAACAACAGTTGAATACTATTGTCTTGAAACATAATTAATTTAATTTTTTGTATTATTTTTTAGAAAAACATTTGAATGTGAGGGTATTGGAAATAAACTTATCATCGAAGTGAATATATTGAAAAAAAACAGAAATGTCATTTCTCAATAAAAAAAATCCGATTATGGTTATATACATTATTAACCTTTTTCTTTTGATTGTTTAAATAATATTACTCAAGTTAAAAATAATCTTTGTTTTGGAAAGAAGTTATTCTAGTATGCTTTTTGTGTTATTCTTTGTCTCCAATAATTCATTAAAAAAGTTCAGATAGTTAATTTAATTCATTTCAATATCATTACTATTAACACAAATTTATATTTACTGTTCTTTCTGAATAGTCAAAATACTTTTTATGGTAATCCCTATTCTTTATCCTATAAGCAAAAACTCTTTCAAAGAAGATAAGTTCATTACAGTAATTCTTAGTTCTTCAAAAGAGAGTCTAAATAATAGTAATTATATTCAACAAAGAATAAACAAAGAAATAAAAAGAAGTGAAATGAATAACATGAAAAAATCTCAATAATTATGAAGAAGAAAAAAAACAAAAATACTATAAGAACTTAAAAAGTTATGAAAAATGAAAGATTTATTTTTTATCTTTAGAATTAATATAAGAAGCACCAAATTCGTCATATTCGGCTTTCTTTATATAACGTTCTTCAAATGATGATAAACTAGCAAACAATTTTCCACCAATCCAAGCACCATATTTTCTTTTTCTATTACAATCAACATTGATTTGAATAGTAGGAGGGGATAAAATAGTAATTTCTTTAATAAAACGTTGTTTCATTCCAGGGAACATTGAACTTCCACCACAAAGAACAATGTTATTATACATTTCTTTTCTTAAATCACAGTCACATTGCATAATAGAGTTATATGTTATTTCATGAATTCCACTTGTTTCTTTTCCAATAATATTTGGCTCGAATAATACTTCACTACATTTAAATCGTTCACTTCCAATAGAAATTATTTGACCATCTGGAAGTTCATACTTTTTATCTAATTCACTGGATAATGATGCCAATGTTGATTCTTCCTTATAGTCAAATGCAACATAACTTAATCGTTCTTTTATTCTTTCAACTTCAATTTTCTCACATTCTGTACTAAATATTATTCCACGTTCAATTAATAATTTTCTTAAATACTCATTAATTTCTTCTCTGCACA